GTGTGTGTGTGTGTGTGTGTGTGTGTGTGTGTGTGTGTGTGTGTGTGCGTGTGTGTGTGTGTGCGTAGCGGGTGAACTTTATGACCTATTTTTAACTCAGCAACTGGGAAGCTGGAACCTTGCCAGCGTGTCCCCAGCATACGTGTCATTCTTGTGACCTGCAACCACCGCTCAAGTAAGTTTGAATTCCACGCACGGGAGCCGAAAAAAAATCTTGTGGCGGGAAAACGATTTTAAGAAACGGACAAGTTGAAAAACTAAAATCCCACATCAACGCCCTTGTCCATGTATGACCTAGAGATTTCAAATTAAGCTACCGTGCATGCTACGCCACACGTACAATCTTGTCAAAGTTTGCAGCTGGCGTTGTGCCAACTTAAAATCTGCCAGGAAACAGTAGCCGGAAATTTGTCAGAATACATATCATCCATCTGGAAAACCCTAGACTTAAATTGAACTTCGGTTTGTATTTGCGCCACAACTTAGGGCACTCCAAAGATTTTTATAGCGAATTGGCTATTTCGATAACCAGACAAACTGGGAAGCTGAAACTTTGCAGGAATATTCTATATTCACGTGTGACCGTAATTCAGTTTGGAGGTGAAATTTCCTGCACACAGACATGACAAATGCTCAATTTTGTTGTTAAAACTACAGCACAGAGATCATTTCTGCTGTTAGTGATCTGCAAGTTTAGCGCAAAAACGCATGACCGCATCGGCACGCCTGATGCGTGGTAGCCTCGGGATATTCTGTAAGCGAAGTCACTGCTTTCGTTATTTTTGTACAAGTTTGAAAAATACCTGAGTAAATAGACTTGGTCCTTGCAGCGCAAGTCTGGCCATAAATGGCACGACGGAAGTGAGATATTCCGCACGTACGTCTCGACCCAGGCCCCTTTCAAAAAGTTCCGCGAGCGTGTCGAAACGTTTCACACGTGTGTAGCTACTGATACACTCCTGGATCAAAATGCAATAACAGTTCGAGCAATCAACAGTACCACAGAAGTCACAAGCAGAATCATGCAGACATGAAACGGACCTCAATCTGCTCATAGGAGATGAGTGGTTCTAGAAGCTTCGAAAGAGCGCATTCGATGACCGGGTACAGCGGCAAACCGCACCTCAAATTACACGATGAAAATGGCAAGCGAACGAATCTGAAAGATTCATTATTCATTATCTGTAAGTGAAGAACGATCACTAAGACATCTCAGATATTTCTTACTTCCCCTCGAAGTCCCATCCGTACGTCGCGTCAGTGCACGAAGATGGAAATGGCTCGGGAGGAACTCCCGACGCAGGATCCAAACTGTCCCTGGATATTAACAAAACATCCGAATCACTTGTGCTGTCCAAATCCGGCCATAGGCAGTCATTACATCGCATAGATTTCATTTCAAACTGCAAGATTTTCCAATATTACAATTTTTGAAAACTAGCAAAGAGGAGGAAGGACAAAAAAAAAATTTTGAAAGAACGGAAAAACCCACTTTACATGTTGCGAACTTTGTCTCAGGAAGAGATGATCGTGGCATATTTTCAAAGCGTAAATCAGTATGGGCGTCTCTAGCCTTTGTCTGCACCTGGAAGACAACTTCTGCTTGCAACAGTTGCACTTCAGAATTTAGGAAACCATTTTGCACGTGATGCTTCCAGATCGAATTCTTGTGCATATGTAAACAACCTTCACGGGAGCATCACTGGGCCTCATCGAGTGGCGCACTCTGTGCTGCTCATCTCGATACATCCCTTCCGGAACTGAAGCAGACGTTGCTTCCGAATCACAGCTTCCCCTTCGAGAAACTGAAACTATCACATAATTCCTGATAAATCCTGGATAACAGCATATCAGTGGTAAACCTGACTCACTTGTCCGAGTAATCCTGACCGGACTCATCGCCCTCTTCCGCGATGACGCTCCACTTGCTGCCTCCGACGTGCTGCAGCTGGTGCCCTCTGCCGGCCACAGTTCGTCTAATGTAACCTGCCGCTTGCGCATCACCTTCTGCACTGGTGATCCTGGACAAGCACAGTCCTCGTACTCTACTTTCTCTACGTCATCATCACCACTCAACATGCCCCAATTCAACACACACACACAAATTCTCAATTAGCGCATAGTGTCAGTGATGCTCGAGCATAGTAATTACCCGCGTTCGGGCATAGCCAACGACGTTCACCACAGTAATCATCGACGTCTTTGCAGAGCAATCACCGAAGTACAACTTTTAAGTGTTTGAAAGCGACGAAAGGCGCTCCTCGGTACGCCAAGTAAGTACGCATATCCATGAGATCAGTGCACTCGTAACATCCTCATAGGCGGCTAGTTAAACGAGTCCCGACTCGCAGTTCACCTCATGGCTACTTCTGGGAGCTAACTGTTGTTCTGCCACATGGCAACTGCTAACCCAGCTCGGCCTGGCATGAAAAAGCGGGGGGAACTGGAGCAGTGACTGGGAAGGAGCTAAGACACTGCTCGGAGGTTGCAGGTGCACAGGGGATAATTACGCTCGGCAAGAAACAGTACGCTCAGTTCAAGCTGGTCAGCTTGTTTTTAGTAGCCTTTATTCAGCACCAACTTTCTTGCTTAGCAAAATAGACTCGTAAGAACGATGATTATGCTGAGACATGCCTAGAAATCATTCTTAAATAAGGGAAAGCTCATTTTTATGCGTTTTTGCATATATGCAAATGCACAAGAGGCTGTCTGTGTGTGTGTGCTTGTGTGTCTATTTCTGTGTATTCACATTTTTTGTCCCCCACTTTCAATTCGAGAACCAGAAAAGCCAGAAGGCTGAAACTTCAGGAGCATGTGCCCATACCATGTGCTATTTTCCCGTTTTAATACGATAGCCCGTGTATGCTTGGGTTCCAAGTACGAAACCTCAAAAAAAAAATATATATAAAAAATATGGAAATTTTTTGGCGGGAAAGCAAACTCGGGAACCAGAGAGGATAGCGAGCCAAAAATCTGCACGGGTATTCTCTACAAATCCATGAGCTGATGATTTCAAATTCAGTCCAGAAGGGTCCGTGGTCCACAAGTACCAGCACGTGAAAATCTTGGCGGGAAAACTGCCAACTTGGTAACCAGAAAAGCTGGGAGGCTGAAATTTTAGAATATTCCCTGTCCACATACAACTTAAATGTTTCAGATTCAGCCTCCAGGCATGGTGGTTCTAGTGTGCGGGCACTTAAATTTTTTGGCGGGAAAACTGCTCATTGAACAGCTAA